TGCCTACGAATGATAATATAAATACGATATACAATTATATTGCACACCGGTGTAACGCGCATGTAAGAGCATTCAATATTTATATAATATTATTACAGAGAACCCGCAAAATATGTGGAATAATAATTACAAGAGGCAAACATACATTTAACGTTTTCCGCTTCGACAAATTTCCGTTACACTCGCCTCGATCTGGCGTGTCAGTTCGACCTTTGGTTCCGCGAAACGTCCCTTTTTTTTCTTTTTTTTTCTTTTTTTTCTTCTCTCTCTCTCTCTCGCGCCATTTACCGGCACAAAGCGTTTACGCTTAAAGGCATAACCTCTGCAGAAGAAGCGGCGGACCCATCGTTTCTCCATCGTCAAAGTACTTGCATTATTACATATTTATGGTAAAACGTTTTCGCATGGTTCGTGGAACAAATGAACGCAAATTTTTAAAAAAAAAAAAAAATCTCTCCGGTTCCCTGGAACCGGTGGCAATCGTGGATTCTTCTTGGAAACCGAACGCGATGTATTTTCACGCCTGGCTTTTACGTAACGAGATTCCACATTCTTGCGAGTGCTCACCGCCAATGCTTCGTTTGGTATAGCAGGAGCGTGTGTTTTCGTGTTTATTATACAAACAAACGGTGAAAACTCACTTTGTCCAAGAAGGATATAAATCCTTTAACTTGGCGATTAAACGGTTGATTATTTTTATTACGTTCCAATGATTCGTCGAAGGTAAAGAAATCTTTTAAATCGTTTCACTTTTTTGTATCGTAACCAAGATTTTCTATCGCAATTGTTACATTTTTAAGAAATTATCGTAGAAGGATTGAAAGGAATTTTAAGTTATGTGTAATTTGTGTACCTTTGTATACACTTGATGTAAAGTTTTCGTCAAGAATCGTTCTAATAATTTTCAATACACACAGAGACATACATATATATTAAAATTTTATAAAATCGAGAATTTCTTATTAGTCAAGCGATCGAAATGTTACAACGATTCATGTTCTTTCGAACGATCTTACCTTAGAAATGTTTACATATCAGCACACGCATTTGATCGAATTACAGGAAAGGATCAATAGCAAGCTTCATAATATTTACGTATACAATTTTTGTGGGTACGGGGGAGTATTGATTTACACATTCTCTACTTTACTCTGATCGTAATCCTTATTACAAAAGATATAATATACACTCTCACCGAAACGCCAAACTATACAAACGATCTAGCCTTTGAAATTAACAAGAACGACGTGACTTATTTCGCGGCGTCCATATTAGGCTTCTGATTAATTAATCGAAATGGAAACGGCGCGTAATACGTAACAGTTCCCGGTAAAGAGAATTCAGGGTAAAAACTTCGTTTACCTACGATAACCGATAAGATATCACTTCCGAAATTCCCCTCGAATCTCTGTAGATATGCAGCTGCTTGCGGGACAGCTCGCGCAAAGAGGCGCGTACCTTCCGTGGGATCTAAATAAATCACGCGCGATATCCGCTCCAATTTCGTCGAGGATCTCTTCGTAGCTTTCTAAAATCTCTCTCTCTCTCTCTCTCTCCCTCTCTCTGTTCGTGAAACATATGTTTTTTTTTTCCCTTGTACGCGAGCAACCCTCAGGACGAAGGGGGAACGCTTCTTCGTTCCAGCGTAGCGACAAAGGGGGCCGAGAGCTACGCGCGCGCGTAGAGATACCTAGCAGCCGCTCTACCTGGCTAGAGGAGTAACGTGGAGAGGCCGAATGATCCACGAAGAAGGACGAAAAGTTGGAGGAGGCGAAGGAAGGAGCGAGGCAAGGCGAGGCAAGCGGCGAGAGAAGCGGAGGGGCCGCGGAGAGAGAGAGAGAGAGAGAGAGAGAGAGAGAGAGAGAGAGAGAGAGAGAGAGAGAGAGAGA